AATTCCCATTGCTTGACCTTATTAAATAATACGATAAATACTTCCGTTTGATGTATTTTGAGAAAAATAGAATAATTCAGCAAAGTACGCAATACAGTTTTATTAAAAAAAATCTGATGTTTGATGAAACATTCTATATGAATTTGAAGAAGGACAGTTTTCTCTATTCTAATAAAATATCATTTCTTCTAAATCTCTGATGAATAACTATGGCATAATCATGTTTTTGTCAAGCGCCTAATCAATGTTATTCAGTAGATTATGTTTAATAAATTGAGCGATAAACTATCCGATCAACCTTCCAATAAAAGAAATGAAAATTTGTAATTAGTTTATTCGTTTCATTATCGTTACGCAAAACTTTCGATAAACTTTATTATTACGCAAGAACATTTGATAACTAGAACTTTTCTTATCTGTAAATGTTTATTTACAGAACTAAGATCGTGTCTTCGATCTCGTTGAAACTTTTCAATACCATGGTTCATTACAAATTCATTAATTAATTGAATTATATATATATAATTATATATATAAAATTTTCAAGAGATAGAGAGGCGAAAGAAACGTTGAGAGAAAATAAGTATGCCCCTAAGTGATTCAAAGATTACTCCGATGTTTCTGCTTGATGTTATAAGGTCAATTAAATTGCGAAAATTTTATAGTATTAATTTTATTATATCTTTTCTTTTCCTTTTTAATATGTATTATATTCTACAGTGATTTATTTGTTATCTCAAAATTGTTCCACGTAGTTTTGCTGATCAAGCGAATATGAATTATAGAATAGGAATAATGAATTTCACATAATGATGCGCAAGTATAAAATCTTCATTAATATTAACATTATATTTATTAATATAATATCAATATTAATTGAATTTAATATTGTTTTTCGTAATTATTAAAATTTATACATGACAATTATATACATTTTATATTCAAGTTATCCAATATCAATATTGCAATTATTCAAAACAATTAATAATGCTCAAGACGAGTGAAGATTAAAAGACCCAAAGATTAACTTTTGATTGGCATCATATTAATGGCAATCAATATTACCAAAACTGTCCTTTTATTTGGTTGTAAAATTAAATACATATACTTGCATTTCCATTAAAAATTCTAGGAATGATTGTTTATAAAGTTTCACAGATTTGTATGGAAATTTATCACTTGTGCATCAAGAAATTAACAAAAATTGATTCGTCATGTGTATTATTCATTCGATTTCGAAGCTGAACATCCATTTTCCCACCTCCGTCGTAATTTTAAAGATATGAAAATGTTGAAGATGATAAAATACCATCTGCCCTAACAATTATACCTCTAGCTTCCACGAAATATCATACGTTTGTTAATTAAAATCCTTTTCTTTGTCTATAAAATCTGAAAACTGAAGAAAAATGTGCTTATCACCGTTCTTTCCCTCCGATCGCCGTTTAGTCTCGATTTATACAGTTCACCGATGGTTTGTTGGAATATAAACTGGCTACCATGAGCGCATACGAGCTGAACATGAGGCGATCATGCACAGAAGACGACGTGGCAGAATAATAAAGTCGGTTCGGCGGCTGTGTCGACTGCAAAGTGGTCCCACGACGGAAAACAAATTCAGAAATATTTCGTCTCTAAGCTGTTCTCTCCATCAATTATCTCCAAATACCAGCCGAACATCAATACGCCGCTGGTAATTCAACTTTCTCTCTCGAGAAATACGAAAATATACCATAATTCCTTAACACTGTCCCCAAAACGAAGAACATAAATTTATCTTCCAACTTACAACTATACATTTTTATCTCGTTGGAGAAGGAAAAGAAATTTTAATCGATTTTCGATAGCCAGAGTTCGTTTGATAAAATGACAAAATGCTTCTCGTTGCTATAAATATTTTTAATTTTTACTTGTCCGAAAGCAAAATCACAGCTACATAAAATGTGTGGTTTCGATATTCATTTATAATAATAATAATATAATAATAATAATAATAATAATAATAATAATAATAGAGAATATTAATTAATAATAATAATTAATAATAATAGATAAAATTATATAATAGCTTTCTTTTCTCTTACATCCATACAGCAGGTATTTTAATACTAAATGACAATAAATTCCCCTTTCGTTTTTCTCTTTCTCTCTCTCTTTCTAACTCCCCTCAAATACATAGTAGTACGTTTCTTCTTTCTCTTTCTACTGGTATACATATATCACTCTTTTACGCAATTTCTCTCTTTCTTTATCATACATACACACTCACGCACACATTTCTTCGATTTTTATATTTTTGTCCTTCATCACCGTCGATGATCGTTCACAATAATATATATATATATATATATATTTTATATATATATATATAATAATAATAATATAGGCTCGATAGTTATAAGGCAACCTCAGTTCGTCGTCGCTACTTCAATACACTCTGTATCTCTCTTTATTTCTTTCCAAGTCTCTCGCGATGATCCATCGAGGTTGTTCATTTCATCTTCATGAACGCACGATCATCCTCTCGCGATCTCGCCGCTTCCGGGTATCGCGAAACACGCGCGTGCCGCGAGTTACGATAAATTATTACGCAGCGTCGTTCTCGTTCCTCGTCGTTTTCACGAAGCTGTTACGTTACGTTACGCGAAAGGGGGATGAAAACGTGACAGGGCTCGAGAGAGAGAGAGAGAGACTCTACATCGTTTATGGCACTCATTTGAAAATGGCTCGGCTCTCAAGCAGCTTATCAACGATCCTCCGCTTCTTCCCGCGAGCTTCGACACGTGTTTCACGCCGATATCGTGACAATCTCGTTGTTATTATCGTCGAATGATTCTATAAGACGATCGAAAGAGGCGAGTTTTGGGGCGGAGGAGTTTCTCCTTTCTTCAGATTGATCGCGAGAGGACGGGGACCGATTTATGACTAATCGACTTCGTTGACACGCGTAACCTTGCTAATGGAATGATGTACTAGAGACTAATAGGGGAAGATTCGGGTTGAGTTTGGGGGAGAGCTCGTCCTGGATCGCTGGAGACCCGATTTCATGTGAATTCTTGAGAATGTTGTTAAAATGTGTATACAATAAAATAAAATATTAATAAAATGTAGTAACGGAAGAGTGATTAAAATTAGATAATACGAGACTTTCTCTCGTCTGTTTTAAAATCGACAGAATGTTTTAAAATAATTTGATATTTCATCATAGAGAATGTGGCAAAGATTACGTAAGGAAATAAAACTTTAAAAATCTTTTCTCGTAAATATTAAAAATTGACATTTGGTACTTATCACAAAAGATATTGTTAAAAAAATCTTTCTCTGTATGTTAGAAAGAGGATTTTTAAAATGTAAGAATTTCTAAAATTCTTGAAGAATTATTTTTGTAACATTATGATTCTTTTTTTTTTAAATTAATTATTTGGTTTCTTCACGAAACATCTTAAGAAACTCTAAGTTCCTTGAATTTTAAAATCTGCGAATAAAAATTAACAAAAAAAAAAAAACCAGATCTCCAAAATGTTGGATGATATCAATTTTCATTGATTTCATTCTTGATTCTTCGCTCACGAAACGCTGGAAAAAAAAGTGTCTAAAAAACAAAGAATCCTTGTCAGTCGCGAAGTTTCAACACCCTCGATCCTACATGCAAGCATCTATCATGAAAATTTCTATTGATCTACGATCTCGAAAGAAAGTAACTATATACGTAACTATATATCTCCAATATTGTCTATGAGAAGATGAAAGGGTAAATTCTTGGCGACTGAGCGTTTCTTTTCTTTTTTCTTCTTCTTCTTTTCTTTTTTCTTGTATTCCAACGCGCTTCTTTAAGGCACTAATTTCCTACGATCGTGCTGTATGTCTTTTGTCTTATTCTTTTCTCGTGTGTCGTTCGTATTAAAAGAATTTGTTTAAATAATCGGTTGTTATTGCTAAGGCACGGTCCTACAAGTTCGGGGGGAAATTCTAAAGGCACCCTAGCGCGTCACCCAACGCTCGCACGTTTACATATCATCCCCAATGAGGGGATCACGCGTGCTCTAAAAGCTACATGGTCAATCGTATTCTTCGAAAAAAAAAAAAACGCATTTCAATGTCTTCTTTAGGTTTCGTCGTGTTACTCGTCGATCGTCTATTGTTTGTTTTTTTTTTTTTCTTTTTTATTTTGGGAAGGAAACTTCAACGATACGAGACGATAATTAGGATAATTGAAAGGGTCGCAGAGATGCGATGAAAATTGTAAAATGACAATTTAAATTGAAGTAAAACTATCACATTTGATACTAAATGTTAAAGCAAATGATAAAGATGTTTATAAATTTTGTAAGCTGTTTTATGAATTAAAAAGAAATCAATTAATTAATTAGAGGAAAGAAATCCTTAATGACTTTAAAAGTGTTTCTGTACTTTTAAAATTGATTTAGTTTAAAATTTTCCTTTCATATGAGTAGATAAGAGTTGGTAATAATGAAAATTTTGACGACTGAAGATTTAATTATATTATTTCGAGGAAATAGAATGTTTAATATATTTAATATAGTTCGAAATAATAATTAACTATTTCGAAATTGTTAATAGTTAAACAGTTTATTTTTCAAAGTCAAGCAAGTTCATTTTCCAAGACAATTTGATAAAATATTTAATTGTTTGAAAAATAAATTTCTAGAAATGGAACATTAACCACTCAGAAAGCAAACGAAGCAAATTTTTCTAAAAAAAGTCTCTCGATCTTCCTAAATCTTTCTACTTTCTCACAAATCGGGAATATCGTATCGTTGCTGAGTAACCTTCTGAAAACAGGAACGCGAGAATTCCTACAATATTTTTTTAAATACGCATCGCTTAATAAAACGCACACCAGCCGATCTTCTATTTCGAGCATTCGCAATTTTACAACAAATACCTTGCATACGTAGCTTTGTTTTAAAACTCCACGACAATCTGTACATTCACAATATACATGCTCTCTAGTTTCTTTCTGCTTTTTTTCTTTACGGTTGACAAAATATCCGCCGGTTTCATTCCAGCGAAGCAACGGTTGCCTTCGAAAGCGAACGAAGAGTCACCGAATCAATCATCATCCATGATCACTGTAACGCTCTGTTTCGTCTTGGCTGGCAGTCTTTTTGTTAACTCTCAGTTTTCTTGCAGATTTTTCTCTCTCTTTTTTTTTTTTTTTTTTGTTGCATTACTTTATATTCTTTTAATCAATACTGTTTGTAATACGATTAATGAGAAACGTGTACCCTCCTGGCCGCGGCACGTGTCCCGAGAAAGCGTATAATCTTTAGTACGATTCATTACAAATCTCGTCTGTGAGTTCCTTGTCGAATACAAAAGAGGAACTAAGGAAACAACAGCTGTGTGTTCTTCTTGAGGAAAAAAAAAGTAGAAAAATCATCGCGCCATTGACAATTAATTTCTCGTATCTTTAATTGAGTAACTGCTTTGAGTAAAGCACTTTTGAACATTCTTTCAGCTAGTCAGTAGTAATCGTCAATGATACGATGGACTAGACACAGTTTTTTTTTTTTTTTGACTCACTTTTTGTTTGTAATCATTCACGTAGAAAAAAGAAAAGTAGTAGTCTAAACTCTGTGATCGTCGGCTGCAAGTTTCAGTTAAATTCTCAGCGAGGGAAGATCCCATTTTCTCTCTCCTTCTCTCTGTCTCTCTCTTATGTCAGTTCTTTACATATATTATTAACTATCTATATATTCTAGGAGCTAAATTCGCGACGACTGATTCACGGAGGGTACACGATACTAAAAGAAAAGAAAAAAGAAAAAAAAAAGGAGGAAAACGAAATGTACAAGGTCTTTTTCTATTTTAAATATCATAGTTTGTCTTTTATCCTCGCAATCTAAAGCTAATAATGATAGGCTCGTCATCCGTGATTTATTGTCTATGATTCTATGCCATTTCTCTCCCGTCGCCGTTTTTCGTCTACGTGGATCTCTCCTCTCGATCAAAGTCGCTCTCCGCTCTTCAAAACTCTGCTACAAAAATTCCTTCGGGAAACAATTCGAGAAGAACCGCGAAGAGAAGATCGTCGTTACAATAAATATCTCCTCTCGTAAGTACGAAGTCATCGAGTTTCACTGAACAGTTCCAATTCGATGCATCGACCGGTACGTATCGTTCGAACGAGAAAACACACACGCTGCCAAGAGTTGTATCGATAGAAAACGGCTGAAGATTCATGACTAGGCCGCTCATTCGGGGGTCTGCTCCTCAATCATCCAGCCATCCGCACTCGCAGGTACGGATGATGAGAACGCGGAACGAAATCCTTCCAGGGAATGTCTACGGGATGCATGAGAATTTGTCTTTTTCTTTTTTTTTTTTTTTTATAGCTTCTGCCTCTCCTTTCCATCAGATTTCATCCGACTTCAGCTTCCTTCACTCTTGCCCCTCCGTGGCCACGACTCCCCCAAGGAATGTCTACCGGAGACCGGGCAATTGTCTTTCTCGAGCGTTCTCCGACGAATGTCCAATGTTCCAAACGAACGTCGTTATGTGTCCATGTGTCGATACTTGTGCGCGGACATCTGCGCCAAACCCAGCACAGCGTACTGACACTGAAGACAGTGGTAGTGAGTCTGTTTGCCGGAATGCTGGCACTGGACACTCCCGCATGGCTGGCTGGGCGTGAACTTTTGGAAACCTGCGGCGGCTATGCTGTCCAATTTCGCGTGTTGTCGTCGATGAGCGACCACCTTGTTGGTATCCGTGCAGACGAAGTCGCATTTCAGACAGTGGAAGTGGGACGCTTTGTTCTGCATGGAGCCTAAGGACGACGTGTAGGCACACTGCGCCCTTCCGCAGGGTACGTTGGCTCTGTATTGCTGGAAATCGCCACCCATTAGGGTGTCGAGACGCTCGTGCCTCGCCGTGTGCTGGACGAAACGTGTCTTGTCGCAGAACGAGTAGCCGCAGTCCTGACGCATGCAGTGGAAGTGGGTCTGGTGCTCTCTGTAGCCGCAATGGGGGTACCTGCAGTCTTCGTTGAATCTGAACCTGAAATGGAAATTGGGAATTAATCCCAATAGTCAGACTGTACACTTGGAATTTTTTTATTATACTAATATTTAGGACAGAAGTTGAATTTGATTTTTATTCAACACTTGCGTCCACGTGATGGCACAATTGAACGTTAATAAACTCTGAACATTTAGTACTGAGGGTGTTGTACGAATAACTTGACAATCAACGATGAAGCATTTATTGGATTTGTGACAAAGGATAATATATTGCTACGTACTGAATAAATGAGCTCTTAATTTGTTGTACGCCCCTCGTTTACTAAACTTTTACACTTTTGGCAATTTTATGCGCTCAAAAAAGTTAATTGCAATTCTGCAAAATCTTCCACAATAATTTTATAAGCTAAATATTTATATAGTATAAGAAACACAATTAAAATGTAATGTACGAAAATGAGAAAAGAAAAAAACGTGAAATAAACGCAAACCTGACGTATCCTTCCGGCACAGGTTCGTCCTTAAGCATCCGCATGGAATGATGAAGCCTCTGCTTCTTCGCCTCGGGTGAATTGCTATCAGGCGGCGACAAAGACCTCTTGTTCAGGTTAAGATTCGCCGCCAACGAGGCCAGAGGGTTCTCGTCTCTGGCCGGAGGTAGGAAATTAGTCGGTGGTAGACCAGGGGCGAACATCAAACCCGGCCCACCTGTATACATGCCACCGTGTTGCAAGAACGGTGGCAGAGCTTGGTTCATCAGGGCGATCTGCTGGTTCATAGCAGCCATCACAGCTGGGCTAGGGAAGTGGAAACTGTGGCTAAGGTCCAGCTCGAAACTAGTCGGGACTGGCGATTGTTGAACACTGGGTGGCATACTCGGCTGAGACAACTGGCCATTCTCGTTGCTATCCATCACCGAATTGTTCCCATCGTCTCTGGACACTTCGCTGGGCTCCCTCTTGACATTCGGAACCCCGACACTCTGCACCCCGATATCCGAGCCGCATCTCGCTGGCTCGATCTTCACCTCCTTCACCTGCGTCTGTTGGCTCATCTGGCCGAGAGTCTGTTGCATCTGACGTTGCATCTGACTCTGAAAGTTTTGGATGTTCTGCGCCATTTGAGCGTTCTGCGCCATGAAGTCGTGCTTCTGCGACAGCTGCGCCAGGTAGTCGTGCTGCAGCTGATTCGGTGTCTGACTGGCCAAATCGTGTTGCTGTTGACTGAGGATGGCGCCTGTTGAATGTTTCGCTATGTGCGCCACTAGTCGGTCCAGTTCGGAGAACGCCTGATTGCAGGCGTTGCAGTGGTAGTGGTTCTTACGTTTTAACTTGCAGAACGGCCTGCTGCAGCTTTGCTCTGGCCCGTAGAGGATGTGCGGCGAGGCTGAAGACGTGGATGGCAGTACCGGTGACTCTGCAAGAGGAGAGGTCTCCGGTGAGTACAGATTGTCCGATTGTCGATGATTGGGAAAAGGCGAAAAAAAAAAAGCGACGACTGAATCGAACACAATTCAAGGCGATAAATATTTGGTCGTCGTATAGAGACACGAACCTTGGTGCACGGAAGTTCGCATGGATAGCACGACGCCCGGAAGTGCGGGTTCACTCGGCGGTCCACTGACCGGATAATAGGTGCCTGCCGCCCTCACCACTAGCAACAATCAACCAAACAACCAACACTTCAAATATACCTCCCACTAGAATTACAACCACCTTGTACAATAGTTACATCAAACGCAACAAGAGAGAAAAAAAAAAAAAAACAATGTACATGAGAAAATATATAATATGTGAGGGTGGAATTTGTGTAGGGATGAATAAATGAATTTACGATCGAAGGATTTATTCGATAAAACGACCCTTGTACCTTTGTAATTTCTGTTGCATTTCTGTAATATTTAATTACAATAGATCACAAAGTTGTTTTATGAAATTGGTTGCTCTTCGTTAAAATGTTATTATATTCCAGAAGATTGTTATAAAAATTATTCTTTTATGACATCTTTGTCCAATTTAAAATACTTGATTTTAATTCAAAATAGTTTATACAGTATAAAATACTTGATTTTAATTCAAAATATTTCTATACAGTATAAAATATAGGTAACATCAGATATTTCAATATAATGTGAAGAAAGACTAAATTTTTATATACGACTATCTACAAAATTAATAAATTTGACAAGGATCATTTTTATTACGAGTAGATCACGGATTTTTATGCACTTGTGGAAAATTGGAAGGAACATGCAAAGATATAGCGTTTCTTGTAATACTTGGTAGGTAGAATAATTTTTCTAATTATTAATAAGTAAAACGTATTTCTCAATTATATTTATTAATATTGTATAAATATATTCAGTCATGATCCTGATGGTTAAGCCCACCAATTTTTATAAATTTATAAATTTAAACATTCAAATGTGAACAAATCAATTTCCTAGCTAACTTCTATGTTTTTTTTAATCACATTCTTTAAAAAAAAAAAAAAAAAAAAAACACACACACACATACACAAATACGCATAAAAATCCGCGAAAATAACTCAACAATGGCGTGGAAAGGATCGAGATGTGCTGTCGTGTCTATGTGTAATATATACTGAAGTGGTGCGTGTACGTGCAGAAAACATGCATCGGTTGGACAATTGTCTCTTTAAACTCTCTCAATTTAACTACCAAAACAAGAACTCATCTATAAGACAATACTATACAGGTGCACTGGTTCGTGTCCAAGTCGAAAGTCACACTTACCGGTGGTCTTGTTAACATCCGGGCTGTGGATCTCCGATTCTTTCTCGTCGATCATCGATCTGCTCTCCATCTCGCTCGTCAAACTCTCCTCGGGCTTCTCGATCAACTCAGCCGTATTCTTCACTTGAATCCTAGGCTTCGTTTCCTGCATCATCGGCTGAATCTGCGTCTGACACTCCTGATTCGACGAACATTCAGGCTGTTCGTCGTGACTGCTGCTGCTGTGCTGTTTCTCGTGCATCGCCATGGTCGAGTATCTAACGAACGAGTAGCCACAGTTCGGCCTGGTACAGTGAAAATGCCGATTAACGCGATTACTGTGACAACCAACCAGCCGGCAGTCGACCATCTTGTCGAAGAATGCAAAACCAGGTGGTATGTCGACGTTGTCGTGAAAGTCTTTGCTGTGCATCAGCAATTGATCGGGCCTGTCGGTGGAGAAGTGACACCTAAGCTGCGAGCAATGATGGTGTCTCGTCGACCTGAGGGCGCAAGCAGGATCTGGACACCCATCGGGATTGTACGTGGAGAAACCTTCCGGTTCGCCAAGGCTGTTCGAAGGCGAGACACTGCCCTCCCTCTCTTCGGCCATAGGATTAGGTGTCAGGCTAGGCGTCTGTGGTTTAGGTAGCTTGAAACTAGTGAAGATCGCCTGCGGCGAGTCGTGAGTGTGGGTAGCTGGATCGCCACCCGACCAGATCTCGATCACTCTGTTCTTTGGAGGCCTGCCTCTCTTCCGCCTGAACATCGCGTCGATGTTCGTCAAGTGCGTTAACGTCACGTCGGAGGACAGAGCGTGAGAGGAGCAAGAGAGATTCAACTGTCGGCTGTACTCGTGGATCTTGTAATGTTGAAGACGACGGAAGGGCTTGTCGGTGGAGAGGATCACCTCGCGACAGTTCTCCCAGTTACAGTGATAGTGTTTCTCTTTGTCGGCGTACGGGCAGCCGTCGTCGCAGCCACCTTCCTCGAAGAACGCGTCGGTGATCCGTTCCTGAGTCTCGTGTTCCCTCAAATGCTCCCTAACCTCGCGTGGATCCTTCAGGGCGGCACCACAACGATCTAACCCGCAGTGATGGTGTTCCCTGCCCGTGTGACAGGGACAGTCAGCCGTCGCAGGTACCAGATACGCTAGTTCCGTGGCAGTGAGCTGTTGGCTCTGTTGACTCTGCTGCTGGTGTTGCTGCTCTATGGTCACCGTGGAACAACTCCCGCTGGCGGTGACCGTGGTCGTTGGCGCGGTGAGATCCATCGCTAGGTCGCTACCACTTTGAAACGAATCGTCCAAAGAGTAGTACGACGGCGAGCCTCGGTCCTCGTTCGAGCTCTCGCCGTTCAGACTCAAGGAGAGGCTCTGCGTGCTGAGATCGTCCGGCGGCCAGGAGCCTGGCGGTCGGATACCACCGACGGCGTTGATCTGCTTGTACTTTCTGTAGGCCAGCTCCGTCTCGTGACGCTCGTGTTTTCGTTTGTGAGAGAACAGCTGGCCGGACGAGTGAAGAACGTAGCTGCAATGCGGCCGTATGCAATGGATGTGATTGCAGACGCGGGAGAAACGACACTGCTCGAACGGGCACGCCTCGGATTTCATGAACTTCTTGAAACCGTCGCGGGATAGCTGCTCGTCTTTGATATGGTACGACTTGTGCTTGTCTGTAAGAAAAAGACAAAGGGAAGAATTCGTTAGAGAATTCTATTACGTGAACGTAAGGGAATTTTAGTTGCTTTTTGATCACCGAGGCGAAAGAAACAGATTAATTTAATTTAATTCGTTGTAACACGTGTAATTATTTTATTGTTAATCTATTTACGTCGATTTACGTTTGTTTGTTTCATCATTTTTCAGATAATTTGAACGTTGAAGTTTTCATTTCTCTTCGTTGGAATATCTCTTCTAATATCCACGTAGCGTCAATTAACTATTATCAATCTATCTAAGAACTACTGTGAAAGCTGCCCGTATTGCAAATTCTGTTATCTGTAATTTGTACGAAACGTAACATTCAATCGCCTCATTTTCGTTTCAGATCTGTCTGTATATGCATCTTCAAATTTTACGAAATTCCAAAAACCTACCGAGATCACACGATGCGCGTACAATACAGACGAAGCGAATTTCTATTGAAATTTCATAGTTGCAGCTATCGTCCGTGTAATAAACTTAAATAACTTCAAAGCCCATAAATCGTAAGACAGAACTGCGAATTAGTTCTTTACCCATATCAGCCTTGTTCTTGAAGGTGAACCGGCAACCAGCTCGGCGACAATGGAAGTGCGTGGTCCGTTGTCCGACGAAGGGACAGTGATCAGTAGCACAGCTCTCGGTAGCTCGAAATCTCTGGAAACCCTCCTGTATGATAGCCGAGTCCTTACGGTGATAGTTGGCGTGCATTTGCACGTCCGACGTCGATATGTATACTTTATCGCAGTTCTCGTGGATACAGTGGTAGTGAGTCTGTTTACGATTGTGGGGGCAGGCACGGCCCGGATGCCTCTCCGAGCAATCGTCCGTCGGCGAGTACCTCATGAACCCGTGCTGCAAAGATTCGTCCCTCTTTTTGTGCCACTTGAAATGCCTGATCATTTCCTCCTTTTTCACAAACACCCTACCACTGCAGTCCAGACAGTGAAAATGCTCGCGGCAGCCGAGCTCCTTACAATACGAGCTACCGCATTCTTGGCCCGACGTGTACCGCCTCACGTATCGGGAGTAATCGATTATCGGCTGCGACATCGAGCTTTTCGAGCTACCGATCAACGTATCCGCAACCGGAGACATGCTTTGTCTCAATAATGCTGAAATCAGAAACCAGAAGGCACGAGGTGAGGAGGATTACTCTCTCGGAGCGCGAGGATTTTTTTTTAGGGGAGGGGGGATTGGCGATCAATTGGATCGAATTCGGCAATTCTGCGTTCTTTTCTTACGGGCGGTATCTCGATTTCCAACGATTGAGAAATTAATTTTTGGAATTAAGAACTTTCCCTAGAATTTTTAATATGTATAAGAGCAGCAGTCTTTTTAAATGTTGTAACAGAATAATGTTGTAACGTGAGAAGGGTTTTTGTTTATTTGAAGATTTTGTGGAAAATATTTTGTCATTTATAGCATCGTTTTCTAAGATCGCGATAATTTCTTATTGAAATTTAATTGAATAAGAGGACATTGAAGAATCAAGATTCCAAACTTTAGCTGTCGCTATAAAATAAAAATATCACAGCTAATACAACGAAAAATTAAAAAAGAACGATGATGTATACGATTATGAACATTACTTTATGTGATATTTTGTATGACAGAGAAAATGCTGCAAGAGAAGATATTTTACGTATAAAAATACTAAATATAAGTATTTTAATTTTTTTTTCATACACACAAGGTATTTCATTTCCAGTCGATAAGTTAACTTCTTAATTATTCGATGATCGGTATGATATCGTCTGATGTTAACGAAGAATCCAAAAGGTAGATAAAGAAGCGTCCTGCAAATCCACGATGAACTCTTCGACTTTTATCCACGGTAGTTGAAATTAGAGGAGTAGAAGTAGAAATTATTATCATTGATACAGGCATTTAAAGGATAATTACACGAAGTAAGGGTAATTAATGGATATTAAAAAAATGAAACTTGCCTTTCGTAGGACGTCAATAGCAATTAGTATTACCAATTGATTAAAACGATTGAGAATGTAATGTATTCGCGTCTTTTAAAAGATCTTTGGTAATGATACTGTTTGATATGAATTACAGCGTTGAAACCATGTGAACCGAAGTGAAACAAAAACGAGTTTCGTCGCGACTCCTACAATTTCATGTCATTAAATCATCAGCTTGCAACTGGACTTGATTTATCCTGATCGCTCGAATTCCTTTAGAGTGATTCGTCTTTCAGGAGAGAAACGACACATTAGAGTTTACTAAATTTTAATTATAAAAAATACCATCGACATAAAGATGCAAATCGATTGTAAATTAGATCGGAGATGAAACATGTACTACCATTGTCGAGAATGTTGAATCTCACGTACCATACAACATTGCAAACACACTTTCGAATCTCCATTAAAATTCTTTGGTTCAATTACAGTCGACGGCTCGTTTCAAGCCTCCAGCACGCGTTCGTACGCTCCGAGTGACAATAACACAATAACACGCTGTTCCCAAGAATTTCGCGAATAGCTGCGAAATATATAACTACGGGGAGAATATATGGCCGAGGCTCCACCTCCGGCAACCGGAAACCACAGCGTACACGTTCGGCGTGCCCTACCAAAAGGCATTGGTTGATTCCAAGAAATTCCTACTTGTCGACTGTGCACGTTTGAATGCGTTCAGAAACGAGTTTAAAAATTGTCGAATATTTCTCTTAGGGTATCCCCCCTCCTCCTCTCGGGTCCCCCCTTTGGTAGGGATAGGCACACCAGCCGAAGTTTTATGCGCACGTGTGTAACGCGAAAGAGAAGAAGGGTTCCCCGATGTGGCAGCAAAACGAAAGAAAAACGAGCAACGAGAGAAGAGACGAAATGGTAAAGGTTGCGAGGGAGAGGCGAGCCATTATTACTTTCGTATTATGTTCTCTCCGATGCTCGATGCTTCTGGGTCAGTCCCATTTTTTCGACTGATTCGAAAAAGGGCACGTGAAACTATTGTACGCGACTAGGAAATCGAAGTTCGAGAAGTTATTTCTCGCGTGAAGATTGTGGGAGGAGAAGGACTGATCAGTCAAAGCTACAAAAATTGTTTTTTTTCTTTTTATTTATTTATTTCACGGAGTTAATGATTCGTCGATTAAAGAATTAACGCTGTCAATTTTGTAATTGTTTTTTTTGAACGTGTTTTAGGAACAAAAAGAGAAAAAACAGATCTTAGATCTAAATGATTGTTTTCACTTCGCGTCGCGTTGCAATTCTCCTGTTGCAATTGCGGATTTTGATGCACTTGTGAAAAATTTTGGAAACGCAATACTCAAGCTCTCTTTTTCAACCATATTCGTAAAAACATGATTTTGCATAAATACAGTCACGTTGTTCTTTTATGATCATCGCGTTTAACAAACTAAATCGAAGACACGTGAAGAACTGCGATTACGAAATCGAAATTCCAAAAATTGTGCACACTGCGATTTACTCGATGAGTAGGAAATTTTCAACTGCAAAACTGTACACGTTAAAACATATAATATAAATATCATGTAAGAACAATACATGTACACAGAAATGTGTAAGAGTGCAATGTACCACGAAATAATGTACAATGTAAGAATACAATGCATACAAATATAATACATAAAAATAACTTACATTATACTCTACTTCTCTACGAACGTTCCATCTTATCAATCACATTCCCGAAACACTGTGAATTCGCAATAAAAATCCGCAGCCTACCCTCGGAGAATATTCAATTTCAACGAGGTATGCTACGGCTAAGACAGCACGTGCTCGAGTTACGAAATTTACATTTTCGCTCTGGATGCTTAAATTAATTATCCAGTTTAGCTGAACCGGGAACGCTGATGCATATTGTTGCGTAACATTCGGTTATGACTGTTAATCTATCCTCCGGTGCAGTAATTATGTAATGCAGCTGCGTGTTTTGTGTGGCTCGTTAGAGCACCTTCTGACTAGCCGTCGAGGAAACTCTTATTCACACGAATTTACAGCCACCAACATTCACACACACAGCGTGCAGCTCGTTACGTGTGAGAAAGAGGCGAAACGCACACGTACACGCATTGGGGGTCAAGGCTCTTTGCATCGAGCAGGTATTAATTAAGAATAAAACGCGTCGATAGTATCGCAATTGGACTGCCGAGAGAATCTTACCGATTCTCCGCTCATATCCGGGAATGTCAGACATTTTGTTGACGCCTAATTATGCGAGCCGCGTCGCAGGAAGCGTGCCAAAACGGCCGCTAGGCGTCGAACAGAACCTGGCCTTGGATCTTGTTAAAAGATACGATGATGTATATTCTATCGTAAATTTCATCGAAAGCGCCTCGCGATTTGTCAAGGTGTTGAAGCTGAAGGGAAAATAATAATACAAGTGAAACATATTAATTACGGGAACTTGCAGGGAACTTGTACAAAGAGTTCGACATATCTAAAAAGAAAGTATCCATTATCTCTGTTATTTTATTTACTATCCTTTTCGTTTCAAGTCCCAAAGTTCTGTACTAGTTAAGAGTACATATTTCACCTTCTATTTCAATTTCTTCCACATTCATAAACTGATGCATCTACGTTTGTTTCGATTCAATCGAAACAAGCCGAAAGCTACGTGGAAAACCAACGTCAAAGCGATTGGAGGAAAAGGAAACGTTCCAGGTCAAAGGTGAAATCATCGGTAGTACCACCCGTACAGTGAGTCAGTACGAAGAATACGAGAAACGTGACAGGACTTAAGGGGCAAATCTTAAAAAATACGAGAAATCCACGGGGCAGAGAGACACAGCCGCAGCCGGTGTGATCCCCCATTTCCTACCCCTTTGCACGCGATATATCCAGCAGCTTTCAAAGGCTGAAACCCTTTTATTCGTAGTTCTTGAAACTCGCACCGGCGGGAGGGGGAGAGGTCGATCCCGACTACAGATGAAAAACTTCGGGGCCTTGATCGAGGGGGGGAGGTAGAGAGAGAAAGAGAGAGAGAGAGAGAGAGAGAGTTTAAAATTTTCAAAAAGCCCAATCCTGAAAAGGAGGCCCCCGTTTCAGCGCGCGCGTCGGTTCTCTCCTCCTTTTTCTTTTTTTATCATTTAATCCGCGCGCTGAATAACCCTTTATACGTAGCCCCGTGATCTGGCGAGCCGAAAATCCGAGCACGATCTCCGCCAGAACGTCTACGAGATGTTTTCTCTAACAGGCTAATATATTTCCTACGCGCCGTCGTAATAAATTAATTTCCTTGAACGTTATGAAATAAAATTTTACCAACGATTTGACCGATTATATTATTTCAGTTTTAAAATTATTTCCATTTTCTTCTTAATTCATTGCATCACGAAATATTTCTAAATATTTATTATAATACTTATTTATCTCGTATTTATTATTCTAAATATTTATTTTTAATATTTCTAAATAGACTTGCACAATAATGCTGTTATAATTGCAATATAATATAAAATAAATCGTCTATAATTTAAATATTCCAATATGCCTTTAGTAAATTTTCTTCTGACAAAGTATATATATAGTTTCTTATCGAACGAATAAATTTGAAACTCGTTAAAGGCTCAAACACGTTGCAATACATATCGAAAGGTACATGTTAAACTGAAGAATGCACTCCTCGTTCAACGACTAACGATTTTAATGAGCAATGAAAGGATCAAGTAATATTGATCGAAGAAATTTCTTTCGCGTCAACGATAAAAAAATTTGTAATTATAATTCGAGGAACACGTTTCTACAAAGAGAGAGAGGGTTTAACGTAACCTACAAAATCGCGTGTTTGGATAATGCGTCAAGTGCCCGCCGCGTAGTATGTTCGTTCTACGTGGCATTCGCGAAGGGTCCATTGAACCTTTTCCTTCCTTTTTATTCTCTCGAGAGGGCCTAAATACCGACAAAAAAAAAAATCCCAACGGGCAATCTCACCCCTCCCCTCCTGCCACTTTAACCCTTTTTTCGACGGCTCTCGTCACAACATTGTTTCCGGAAAAACGGCTCCGTTAAAGGAGTAACCGGCCAGATGCGATTTAACGAGCCAGAATAGAGACGTTGCGCCGATTTCACGGGCATTGTGGCGAGCGGAGTGGCGCGGAAACGCGATTGGGCGAGAATACGACGTATGCCAATAT